TAGTGATGCTTTTGGGGATTAAAGGCTAGTGAGTGAAGTGGGAGATCTTTTAGAACAGGCAGTTGTGATTGTATTTCCAGCTGTGGAATGGTAAACAAGCTTGGGCTCCACAGAAGCAGCCTGTAGTTTTTTACCTTCTTTCCCTTTGACCTTCCTCTCCTGCTTCTTGCCTGTGCTGGCTCCATCCAGAGCCCAGGGCTTCCTCCTCTGTGTCCCTCCCTCTCCATAAGACTCTGTTGTCTCAAGGTTTAGTGACTTGTTTACCAAACCAGACCTTCTTATTCACCAATACATGTCCGCCAAATAAACATCAAATGAGCTACATTAGAGGGAGCCACCCCAGGAGAGGGTGTCCCTCTTCTACAAACCTTTAAAGAAACTCCTGTCTTTCTAGTGTCCAACAATTTGACAAGATTAGACTAGGCCCAAAGGGAAAATGGGAGGCCTTCAAGGAAAATTCTGTCCACCAGCTTTTCCTCAGTGGCATTTTGCTCCATAGGGCTGGTAGTGGCAGGAGACGTGGAGCGGCAAGGCAGGAAACGTGTGTATTTGGAGATCTGAGGACACCACAGAGCCTTTCATTCACCCACAGTGCTCCTGATGAAAGCTGCTATTCAAGCACAGAGCCGTGGGCTCCACTGGGCAAGCACTGAGGCAATCAGTCACCACCATGCCCCCTCCCACATCCCACCACCACTGGAGAAGGAGGTGGGCTCTATGCATAACCTGCCTGGTTAGAGAGGAAACCAAGGTCTACAGAAAGGAAGTGATCACTAAAGGCAAAGGATTGTGGGAGAGCAGCAGGACTGGACTCCAGGCCAGTGCCTTATGTCTCCAAGAAAAGCCCACCATGTTGGTCAGAACCAATGTCTGTCTAGAAGGATGGTGAGGATCTGTGTTCACGGGAAAACCAGGACACAGAACCAATTCTGTGAGCCTCTCCAACACTGAGCATCACTGACGGTGGGACCCCAGCCAAATCACTGTGCTACTCTGTGCTCAAGTGCCTGCCTACTCAGTTGAGAATAATAACAGGTATTGTCAATAATAAGAGCTGCAAACACATTTGCTTACACAGTTCTGTGTATTACCTCCGTCAGCCCACAGCCTAAGGTGATGTTAATTAGGGTAGGAAGGAGGACAGAATGTTCAAGAAAAATGGCCTAGCCCAACCCAGCCATGGGGCTGTACAGAGCATAGATAAGGAGCTGGGGAGAAGCCAGTGAGTCTGAACACAGTGGGGCAAGGTATGGTGGCAGGAGAAGAACAGGAGACCTCAATGCCATATAGTTGGGGGTGGAGGGGACCTTTATCCACACACTGGAGGAGGCTGCTGGCTACTCCTACTTCGCACTACCTCAATAAGCATGGTATTTCTCACAATCTATCATTTGTCTTCGGCCTCCTTTCTATCATTAAGAATGGGATCTTGGAGGAAGGGCTAGGTGGCTAAGAGCTTTGCCGCTCTTCCGGAAGACAGGAGCTGGATACCTAGCCATCAGTCACCCACATTGTGCAGCTCACACGTAGCATTCACTCACACAGACAGGCACATGTGCCTGTAAATTAAAAAGTAAATCCTAAAACAAAGATTAAATATAAGGTTTTATTTATCCATGTCTGTCTGGTGCTGAGCAGAATCACGTAATACAGATACCCAAAATGTTTGTTCATTGCCTATGTTATTACATAGGCAACATTTAACATTGCATGTTTAATATTCAATAGCTCCATGTGCTACACATTTAAGTCATACATAGATATTCGCATCAGTAGTGAAATTTTTACTCTGCAGGCAACTCTATATAGTAATAAAATGATGTGTGCATTTGCAGACATCCTTGCAGTTTCTAAAACTAAAAACTCAGAGGTTTGGAGAGCAGCAGGGCTATGGCAGACCACTCTCAACTCAGTACAGTCTGAAACAAAATGTATAGTTCAGGGGAAATAATGAATTTTAGGTAAGAACATCAGCAGTTAATATGCATGCTGCATTTTTAAATAAAAAACAAAGAAGAAATACAACAGTGACTTCAGGACCTGAATAACTTTAAGGTGATGTTTTGAAAATGAAAAGGGTGAACCGGGCGTGGTGATTTACTCAGGAGGCAGAGGTAGACAGATCTCTGTGAGTTCAAGGCCAGCCTGGTCTACAAAGTGAGTTCCAGGTCAGCTGAGGCTATAGGAGACCTTGTCTCAAAAAGAAAAGAAAAGAAAAGAAAAGAAAAGAAAAGAAAAGGAAAGGAAAGGAAAGAAAACTGACTCTCCCTCTTCCAGCAGCTGTCAATTAAAAGGAAAGGAAAGGAAAGGAAAGGAAAGGAAAGGAAAGGAAAGGAAAGGAAAGGAAAGGAAAAGAAAAGAAAAGAAAAGGGTGGAAGTTGAGAGAAAACGGTTGAGGTGAGGGGAGGGTTGGGGCTGGTAGGTTATAGAAATGTGGACAAGTCTCCTCAGGAATTACAGGTGAGAGAGCATCTGCAGGCTTTGCTAAAGTGGAGCTGAGGTGGACAGCCTTGCATAACCTTTGCGTGGGGTTCAGGGAAACCTCCCCAGACTGCACATGGCCACACTAAGCCAAGGGGAAGGGCATGGAGCAGGAGGCACATGGGCAGTGAAGTCCACTGTGGTGTACCCTGCTCAGCTGTCAGAGCACTTTGCATTCCAGCTGCTGGTGCTCAGTAGTGTAGAACATTCAAACCAAGGATACATCTGCATTTAATTGCCATCATTCCCTATATGCCTTAGAGATGCGAATCTGCCCAGGAAAGGAGTGCAGTAGGACAAATGATGTGACCAGCTCTACAAGTCCTTGGGTTCTGCACCTGCAGATGTGACTCATCACAGACCTAAACTATTTGGAAGGGGGATCACATGTGTGTCAAATATGTATAGACCTTTTTGTTGTCATTGTGCAATAAAGTACATCAACTATTCACATAGCATTTGCATCCTGTTGGGCATTGTAAGTCACCTAGAGTGACTGAAAGTGTACAGGGGGGATGTGGGTAGATTATATGCAAATGCTATGTCATTCTGTGTGACTTGAACATCCAAAGATTTTAATACCCAGAGAGGGTCCTTTGAACCAACCCCTCATGGGCAGATATAACTAACTGACAAATCAAGGATGCCAACTGACTAGTTGAGATTGAGAAAGATAAACAGTCACAGGGAATTGTGGACTGTCTTTCTCTTCATCCATGAGTCTCTTTGGTAAACTCACCTAATAAGCAGTTTGGAGGAAAATTATATGGAATAGGGTGTCACTAATCAAGAGCATTAAAAAAAAAAAAACTATCTTGTGACATCCCTTCCCCATCTGGACTTGCAGTCTGAGGACAGTAACCCTCACCTGTCTGAAACAGCATCTCCCAAATATCACCGCTAAGCACTGAGGTCATCTGGTCTCCTTGGGAAAGGAGAAGGCTTCTCTCCTGGATGTTTAGCTCTATAGGTGGTGGGCAAGAGCTCAAAATTCCTTGTAATCAAAATAAATCAACCACTGTGATTCAATACAGAAGTTCGTGCGCCCCCTGAAGGGAGGAGGTCCAGAACTGTTGACCTGTGTAACCTTAGGCCTGAGATCACCCACTCACTTCAGCGGACTGCTGTTCCCTCGGCCATTCCCATTATGCGTAGCCTGCCTGCCCCTCACTCTCTCATTTTGTTTCCAAATAGTGTGGTGGAAAGGAAGGAACACAGGTTCCAGAAGCAGACAGAAATGGCTTTGAATCTGTTCTACCACTCACTAGCTTGATTGCCATGGCAGCCAGACTGTCACTTCTGCAGCCTGTTTCCTCGCCTAGAGATTGGGCAGCGACTTCCCTCATGACTGAGAGCATCATAAACCATATTTTGTAGCCTGTGCCCAGGAGTCACCTGTGGGCCTTGTTAAAAATGCAAGTTCTGATTCCACAGCTCAGAGACTGCCTTCCCGGCAGGTCTCAGGTGGTGTGATTTCACTCTTTGCTGTTCAAAAAGACACTGCTGAGTAGCAAGAGTCTAGCTGGAGTATGTCAAGAGCAAGTGTGAGGAGTGTGTTGAGGGCTTAATAAACACAAACTACCACCGTGACAATTCTCTTTACCCTAGTCAAAAGCATCCCTGTGAGAGCAGGAAACCAGTTCGCCTTAGAGTTCATAGGGAAACAAGAAAAAACAAGTTTGGTTTTGAGGGCCCTAGGTGTGGAGAGCAAGAGGAGAGAGTCCCCTCAGCCATAAGCAGACCCACACGTGCCCACAGGTGCCTCCGCTGGCTGACAGCAGAGCCCAGAGCCCAGGCCTCAACTTGTCATGCTGGGAACACATCTGCAGAGCAGGGCACACGCCTGTTCTGCAGCTACAGCTCCCCCAAGGAGGCTTCAAAGCACACAGGATGTGCTTGGCAGGAGTCTCTTAGGGATATAAATGTGCTCTGGGGGCTTTTGTTTTAAGGACTGCAGTATCTTTTCCACTTGAGGCCTGAGAGTTGAGCTTTCCCCTTTGCCTGCATCAAAAGGGGGGCCATGTACAACCTGCTGCTGGAGACACATGCTGAGTGAGGTAAAAGAAGGGCCCAAGCCTCCCTCCACACCCAAGCAATTTGCCTTCCATTTCACTCCCCTAAAAAGCCTGCTTTGCCACAAGCTGCTGACTCATCCAGGGTTAGGGTCTTTTTTCTTCTTTTTCTTTCTCTCTGTGTGTCAGAATTGCCAAAAAAAAAAAAAAAAAAAAAAAAAAAAAAAAAAAACGGGGAAGAAGCCAGGCTTGGTTGTGCATGCCTTTAATCCTAGGACTTGGGAGATAGGGACAGGAGGATCTGAGTTGGAGTGAGGCCAGCCTAGTCTACATAGTAAATTCCAGTTTAGCTGGGGATACAGGGAGACCCTGCCTTTAAAAAAACAAACAAAAAAATGAGATGGCTTAGTAGAGTCACTAAAAGGATGTGCCACATGAGCCTGGTGACCTGAGTTTGATCCCCAGAAGCCTAGAGATTGTGCTTGATACAGTTTCTGTTGTCTGCAGGTCTCCACACACTGGCTGCTCTGAAAGTCTGGCTGCAAGATTCCCAGGATGTAAGCAACACACAGTGGATACTGGTGAGTGATGCTATGTTTGACCATGTCCATTGTAGCCTAGGTTGATGTCCAGGAGGGGAAGGAGATGCATGAGAAGGGGGACTACAAACTCTGTTTCTATCCACACACACCTGGACACAACACAGAGCCAAGCTTCCAGATGTGGAACCCCTCGGAATCTGCTAAGTTCCTGCCAGAATTTCCCCCAGAAGCCACTGAGCCTGCAGCTGGCTGCCTGGCCCCTCTCTGCACAGATGACAGCAGCTCAAACTCCCAGGCCGAGGACACGTGCTTAGAGTTGCATTCAGAGAAATAACCTCACAGCAGAGATGGTGCTTTCTGGCTCACACCAGTTGGCAAAACATAGCCCTGAGGAGACAGTGCAAGGGAGGCAAGAAAGCCAGCCTTGCACAGCTAACGCACTGGCCCTGGAAGGAGCAGGTGGACAGCTGTTGATGACTTAGCCTAAGCAAAACTCCCTGACAAAAGTGCTGTGCTCAGATGCAGAGAACATCTTGGTGAGTAGTGAGCTCCCTGTCCATGGAAAATGTTGAAGTCAGCAACTTCGATGAGAATAGTGTTTTGCATTCTGTTCTCTGGTGATCTAGAACCCTTGGGGGGCAGAGCATAGAAGGAGAGGAAAGATAGAAGTAAAAACAGAGGAGGGCGCCATCATAAACTCTCAGGCTCCCTCTGCTTTGGGTGCCTGGCTTGCTGCTAAAGCCACTGGATCCACTGACCTTGGGTCTCTCCTGAACCCCAATGACCCAAGCCAGCTGCTCCTCAGCTGATGCCATGCCACCCACTTGCATGCTTGTGACCCCAACCACCTGGTATATATGATGGGTGGGCAGTGCACAAAGCATGATTACTATGGGGGCTCTCGGGAGACTGCTCCCACTTGCTGCTAGTTATACCATCAAGGGGTTTGGCCCCAGATCCTGACCATACAGACTGAAAGAAAAGGCTTGGGAAACATGTGACAAAGGCCACCCAGTTCCCAGAACCCTCAAGAGGCATAAATGGATAAGGTCCTGGTAGGTAGCTGTCGGAGAATGTCAACTTGACTTCACCCAGAGTCTCAGGCCCTTTGGCAGGGGCAGAGCCTGTATTATACACTCAGATGGCCAAACTCCTACCTGCTGAACAGGAGAAAAACTGGGCCCCAGACCCAAAGGAGAACATTAGGGAGGAGGGAGACCCAGGATGCAGGAGAGGGTGTGTGTGGCCAGCCGCTATAGTCTGGGCTCAGGTAGAGTCATAAACATTCTCCAGGCCCTGGAGGGCAAAGTGCTATAGGGGGCCAAAGATGGTCCTTCTTTCTTGGAAACCGGTGGCCTGGATAAAAATCAAGTTTGACCCTGGCTGTACACAGACTGCACATTCAGCTGAGTCCTGGTTGCTGTATAAGGGCAGAGAGGAAGAGGAAGGAAGGGGAAGAGCAGGGGGATGCTGGACAGTGACTATGAGAACATAACCTGTTGCACCCTTAGCAGTCTTCAAGCAGGAGCTGAGTTGTGAGGACAGGGCCTTCCATGCACAGGCCCTGACACACAGTAGATGATCAGCAAGTGACAACTGAATAAAGTGATGAGAAGGGAGTCCAAGAAGGGGCTACCCGTGCTGAAGGGCAGGGCCCCCTGGTATAGACTGTCAGGTTCAAATCTGGCTCTCCGCTAGCTTCATGGCCTTGGGCAAGTTGCCAGCCTCTCTGTGAATTGGTCTCATCTGTGCTCAGAGGACAGGGATAGAACTTACTTTACCCTGTGGCTGTGAGGAGTCAGTGAATTGATTGGTATAAAGCCGCCTGTCCACATGCCAGGACATAACTAGCATTCCATAACTTTTATCCTCATCCTAATATGGGACAGGCATCGTGTTGGGTAGGAGGTAAAGCAAAGACCCCTGGGATAGGTGCAAGATGGGGTTGGGAAATAGTTACTTGCTCCGAGCTCATTTTCCTAAACAGAGATGCTGCCATTCCCTCTACGGGGTGGAGTATTACTCCTGCCATCTCTCTTCCATGGTCCTTTCCTGTTTCTGATGTTGATCCGAAATCAGAGATGGCTCTGCATCTGTTTCTAGCTGCAGGCCCCAGGGAATACCATGTGGTTCCTTACAATGCCCACTTCTCCTTCTTCCCCTGCAGAGGGGGGCTTGAAAACTGATAAGCAGAAAAGAAAGATTCCATTGATACAGATGGAAGATCATTTAAGCTAGAGTTTGGGTGCATGTTCACAAGTCCCCGCCCCCATTTTGTGTCCATTTCTGGGCCGTTCCAAGTAAGATCTGGCTGTTCCCTAGGCTAGAAGATAAACAGCTTCTCAGTGGATTCCCAGAACAATGCCTCGCTTGACAAAAGGCACCACCCACCACCCCTGGACTTTCAGATAAAAATTGCATTTGCCTGACACACTTGTCAAGGTCATGTTTCTTACATTTTCAATAGGCCTAGGAGTGTAGCATGAGCTTGCTGAGGGGGCAGGGCTACCTTGAGGCTCCATTGCCCCATCTCATCCTATAGTTTGAATGTAGGATCAAAGTGTGAGCTAAAATGTTTATGGCACAAGCGCAGTCCTGTGCCCATCGGCTCTAAAAGCATAGCAGTCACTTTCTGCCATACACCTGCAGGTATCTGCCAAGTAGCCACAACCTCACTTAGGTGGGAAGAGAATAGGCAGCTTTGCTCCTGTTTGAAATGGCCGCAGAAGTTGAATGGCAGACATTTCACTGCACTTCTGGGGAACAAACTCTTCTTCAGAGTTTTAGATGTGTCATGAGAACAGCAACAGGGCCACCACACTGGAGAGTGGGGCCAGAGTAAGAAAAATGTGAAGGAAGAGTGGAGCCTCATTCCTCTTCTCCCCTGCCCATGGAGACATGGGATGACTCCTGGCACCCCACCTCCTGGGATTGGGACACATGGAAACAGATTGGCTCCTCAGACAAGGGCAGGGCATGGCCTGCAGCTGAAACAAAAGATGATGATTGTCTAGCCTGGCCTACTATGTTGGGGGCAGAGAGGACTAGGGTAGATGCTCGATATTGCTGGAATGAAGGTAGCCTTGGAAGAGTCATTTAATTTTCATGAGCCTCAGTTTTTTAGCTGCGTAATGAAGATTCATTCAGCCATGTCCAACCTAGAGTGCACAGGACACATGGAGAACACACGGCCGAGGATAGCTATGCATGCAGCCCAACACAAAACCATAAACTTACCTAAAACATCATAATATCTTTCTTGGTGACTTTTTGTGACTCAGTTGCATGGTTCTAAAGCATGAACTTTGTAGACGACAGTGTCATGTTGCAATGTCAAAAGTTTGGACCTGAGTGGAAGTAAGTGTATTGTTGTTAACAACCTGAGAGGGCTCTTGGGACCATACATGTGAAGCGTCAGGAGTTGCGTCTGGCACAGAGCAGGTGCTGGTGGCATGAGCTTCCATTGCCTCATATTGACACTGATGTTAAATTCAGGGTTAGTGTGTGTGCTGTCACCCAGGGGTGATGTCCAGCATGGCCTACCAAGGCACAAGCACAGGAAGGTCAAGTGCATTTGGGAGTCACTGATGTGTAGACCAGTGCTGACCATCCTGGCAGTGTGTGCTTAGGGAGGGGAGAAATGTGAATTGCTTTCATTCTTTGCAAGTTTTAAGTCTTTATCCCAACTGTGGCACATTTCCCTCCCCCCTGCTCTAGCCTTCCCACCCTCCTGGCCTATGAAAACCTGTGAGGCAAGTGTCCCCACTACCGAAGGGCTCAGGCCACATTCCTCAGGCCTTCTGGGAGGAATGTAGAGGGACAGACAACCATGAAAGAGGGAGGTGAGCCCAGAAGGTGACCACGTTCTCCAGAGACAGCTCAGCAACAGGTGACAGCTGCATAGAGGAGAGCCCAGAGGTAGCACCGGCATTTAGGAGGCAGGACCCAATGCAGCAGGGGACCGTCAGGACATGCAGCCACCCCATCCCACCTCAGCATAATGGACCTGCCATAAGACCCCACCATATAAGCATTGACTGGGTCCTTCTACCCATCCAGGTGCAAGTTCAGCAGCATGAGCAGTTCTTTGCTCCTTCCTCTAGTGTTAGAAGTGGACCAGATGTATCTAGGTGAATAGGAGAAATGGGGAGAGAAGCAAGGCGTGGTCTTCCACCTTGCTCTGTTGTTCATTTCACACTTTGCCCAAATGGTCCTGCCCCAACCACATTCCATGCTATTTCGGAGACTAGAGTTTATTGATCCAGGAAATTATTTCAGCCAACACTGGCAGATAACAACACTTAAGTGCATATTTGAGTATACCAGAGTTTTGGTTACAAGAAAGAAATCCTGAATACAAAACTAAAAGGCAGTAGGTATGATGGGAAAGTATGACCTGCTCTGGCTTTGAGCCCAGCTTGACCTAAGCAGTGTCAGTAGGTTTCCTCTCTCTTTATTCCTAGACTCAGCCTACTTCACACAGACAGGTTCTCCACCTGCAGCCAGGACCTTCTGTCCACATCCTCTGTGGAATGAGGGCTTTCCTCCCTTCTGACCTGTCCCAGCAATGTCTTGAGTCAGAGACACCTGGCTCACATGTCCATCTCTGAGCCAGCTGTAGTAGTCATGTGGCAGGCTATGGTGCCTGGCCAGACCTGCTCACGTGCTCCTTCCGGGCATTATGGGACACATGGCCTGAGAATGGTTGTGGGGAATTGGGGAAAAAGAGAAGATACCAACCCCAGCATGTCATGTGTTCAGCCCTGCAAGGCAGTTGGTGCCCAAGTTATAAGAAAGGGATGATTGATGTGACTTTCATACTCAGAGCAGACCCAGTGGGGAGCAGAGAACTTGTCTAGACCACACAATGAAGCCTGTGAGAAATGTTCTCACAGAAGTGATATCCCACATGTGAATCCCCTGAGTAGCACACTACCCACACCCTGTTGTAACTATGTGCAGATGTGCTGTCTTCTCTTGGGAATTTGGCAATGTCATCTGGCCACTTCTTCTCCGCTCCCCTGTGGCCAGTAGGCATC